TTTATCGTACGTACGTTTGACTTTGGTTCGTACAGGATACAATGTTTTATATATATATTTATTTTTACAGATAATATACCTGTTGCCTACCCGTAATGCTTGTATGATGTACTTACGATGAGCAGTTGTACAAAAACGTACTAGTTAAATTGTTACTAATTTTCATAATATTTTAGCAAACCGCGAAACAATACATTTTACTATTGCAATTTTTTTTTATTAAGTAATTCACGTTTCAGCCTCACCTAAATGAAAAAAATAATCGATCGTTATGGTTTTATCCGTCCCTGTAGTCTTAACTCGGACTCTTTACACGAGTTTCAATTATTGTTTCGGTATTCACGGGTCGCTGATAGGATAACTGAACAGTTATGGTTACACACCCTCCGAAAAACATGGTGCGCGACCTGTTCACGTACAAAAACCGTTACAATCATTTGAAGTGATTCGGATTTCTCACACGGTCATATCATGTGTCATAACACACGAAGAAAATTTCGGTAAAAAAAAAAAAAAAAAAAAAAAAAAAAATGAAAAAAACCATTGCTGCACACCGGCGGACGCTTTCATTTTAGTTATTTTTAACCGAATCTCTCCGACAGCGAACACGTCGGTGTTTCGTAATCCATATTTTCGTTTGTCGGAAACGTTGCGTGTCGTATACGTACGAGCTGAGCGCGGTAAAAGTGCCTGGACGCGCACATAGCAATAATTCGGTTCGCGCGCCGCAGCGTCATTTGTTTTTCTTGTAAACAATTGAACGACATCTGTGTGTACAGTTTTAAAGAGCCCGGACACGATAATAATACGTTAACCACATCGACGGAGTCCTGACGACGGTCGAACCGCGTAGTGTGCGGTAAATCGTTATTTGATTGCCTATTCTCAATGCACTCGATGTGCTTCACGTTCGCAACAATAATATTGTTCGACGCGTGGTCCTAACCGTATTATGTTGATAACGGAATGCGCTCGATCGACAGTTATCGTTCGGTACACGCAAATGTTTTCTCCGGCTTGTTATTCTTACATTTACATATTTTCGCATCGAACGCGAATATTTCGGATTCGTCTACCTACGGGCGCGCGAAAAAAAAAAAAAAAAATGATAACCAAGTGTAGTATACCTACGATTTGTAATTCGACCAACAGATATAATGTTAAAGATATAAAATCAAACGAATGCGTGTTCTGTTAAACACTGAACATATTCGTACGCGCCGAATCGCGGTATGTAATCATAATCATAATGATAACAACAATAATAATAATAATATTAATAATAATACACACACGTAATACAACAATATTTGCTGTATACTTGACGGTGCAATAGCAATTAATGTTTGTGTTTAATTCAGTTAACGGTACGCGCAGCCATCGACAGGGCGCGGGTGCGGGGTTTTGAAGGATTGGCGTTCGCTAAAACCGAGCGTGGGCAGCGGCGGCGTAAGAATTATTTGTTAATCATACGCCGCCGAAGTAATCATTACACATACACATATCTACCTACTCGTTAGACTAACTATCGAAAATAGGTAGTAAATACGTTTATTATAATTATTATAATTCCGTTTATTATGAATGGGTAACGATTTCGATTTTGACAGTATCGTTTGCAGTGTTTTTTTTCTCGACCAACCCTACACGTATATATATATATATATAAACATATCAAACGAAATCAAATATTCGTGGTACACGTGCACGGTATGTAGGTATGGGAAAAGGAACGCTGCACACGTAAAAAATAGTATTACAAATAAAACAGAAATTCTTGTCAAGACGAAAACGGAATGTACGAAATAATACTGTGCTATCCGAATGCGCAGTCGAAACTTTTACTCGACCATATTCTGTTTAACGAAACTCTCTGCACGACAATTTTTTTTTATTTCCCCGCAACCATAACTTTTCATTAGATCAAAGAATTGTTTTTATATTGTTATTCAACAGTGAACTTTATACATTTGTAATTCACATCTACACACTTTTGATGATCTTCGGTGAAAAAATTTAACGTTTTATAATACGAGTACACAGTATCATGTTGTGTTTATTACCGTACAATATTATTACATTTTAGGCATTATTATTTTAGGTTATTATCATAGTTGTATATTGTTATTTGCGTAGACATCGAGACGTTTACCGTTTCTCCGAAAATTCATTTTATAAGAAACCTATCGGATGCCTTATAATATAATATAGCAGGTCGGCAACCTGCATGTGGTCCGCGAATCAATATTTTATGACCCACACAAAGGTGGTTAATTTTGTGTTTTAATTTTGTTCAATAAATTTTTCGTACAATTTTCAATACTAATCCATTATTTTTTCTTTATAAATAAAATTGTTATTATTATATAATCGGAATCGAAGATAAGGATGGCTGCATTACTCAGTCATAGGATAAATTAAATTATATCTATTTAAAAATTAAAATTTTAAATATATTTAATCTATGTATTTAATACATATGTATCTAATATATTTAATCTATGGTTATAGTTACTTTGCATTTGTAGCAATTAGTATTACATCGTGACTGTTTGACTGTTTGCGTTTGTAATAGTTTCATTTTACAATTAAATCCAAACATTATGGCGACTAAAAAAAGAAAAATTTGTGATGAACATCGTTTTTTTAATAATTCTTGGGTTGATTTATACTTTTTCGTCGAAAACAAAGGTAAGCCATTATGTTTAATTCGTCAAAAAATTAAATTTTTTCTTAAAAGCAATTTTTTCCAGTATCTAACATTCGTATTTTTTACACTTAAATTTCTATGTAAAATAATCAAATATAATAGCAATACATTAGTATATATCATACGTAAAAAAAATTTTTTTAATGTGGCCCTTGATAAATATTTGAAAAAAAATATGGCCCGCGTGGTTCAAAAGGTTGCCGACCCCTGTTATATAGCCCGCATAAGTATTCATGAGTATCCGTGTAAATCATTTAAATCGATCGGGAAATTTTTTAATTACTCCGTTGATTTTTTTTTCGATAGACCTTCTAGTTTGGCTTCGGATTTTCGTCCTAAAACGATTTACGATGACCGCTAACCGGCGACGCGTACAATTAATATTGAGAAAATCGACGTAGAAACGGCGAAATCGATATAACCCCGGATTTCGTACGGTAAAAACGTGTTTTTCAAGTGTATAGAATCGTATTGATTTTTAACGAAGTGTCTGCTAAACGAATTTTTTCATACTTCCGAAGAACCATCAGGTTCGTTAAACCGAATTTACGCGCGCGTACGTCGGATTACATTGATTTCTGCACCGCGTACAGAGCGATGTACGACGCGCGCGCCGTGTAAATCACTGCACGGGAAGATTGATGTAACGTTCATCGGACCGGGTGCGAAATCGCGTTTACCGTGTAACAATCAACAATCGTGATATCATATTAACAATAACAAATCAACATCAGCGGTAGCGCTGCGCGCGGCGTACGATACTGCGTAAGTATATATACGGCGTGAGAGAGGCGCACATGAGATGTTAAGAAAATCGCGTTGGTCATCGACAGCGTGAAATGAGAGATGCATGCCACTGCGGTGCCGGAGCGCGTACAATAGCGCGTGTGCACATCAAAAGGACGTCGTGTGCCGCGGCGGCAAAGACGACGGCGTTACCGTTTAATAATATTTATAAAATTATTTCAAGTACAGAGTCCTTTTCGGGATTTTTTAACGCGGAAACGAGTATGAAATCTATTACAAAAATGAGACGTCGGAACTAAACCTCACCTCTTTTCTCATATAAAAACGACACACGATCAATTACAACGTATCATGTGTAACGTGTGGAAAATAATACTTATTGATTGTATTCATAGATTTGATTATAACTAGGGCTCGTAACTTGTATCTCTGAAAAAAGGTTAACGTAAGTGCTTGAATATGCACTTAAAATATACCAAATATTGTTCACTCGGATAATCTGCTAAGAGTGTACCGTCAATTATATCAACAACAAAACTACCTTCGATATCGATGGCTTAGCGATGTTCAAAACAAGATTAAATCTTATTCGTTGTTAAGAAAAAAACGTCAGGTTACACACACATACAGAAAAATAAAAATAAAAAAGGCAACACTCAAACTTCGAAATATGCAAAAGTATGCAACATAATATTTCGTATTTATTGTCTAAGTGTTCCGAAACAAATATATAGCTCACGTTCTTAGGACCTCAAAAAAAAAAAAAAAGTCAATGCTATGAGTCTTGATTATCACTAAATATCAGTTGAAAATGAACATAAAATCCGTTGAAAATAAAGACCACGATGGGGTCCAGCTCCATATCCTCCCCCCGTGAGAACGCTTGTGTTCAAATACACCCTCGTATGCATAAATACTACGCGCAGGTTTTTGGCATGTGCGACAAGGGCGAATCGGATCCGTTGTACTACTATTACTACTACTATTTCACAGCTCGCCGACGTGCGTGTGTGTGTGTGTGTGTGCCAATTATGCGCAGAACAATTGTGATTATTGTCTTACGAAAAAAATTCAAAAACAAAAATAGGACGAGGAAAAATACCGCGGCACGTAGTACACCGGTGGCGTCGGCCTGGTTTCGGTACTACGCAACGAGATCATAACATATACGTACAATATTTATACGCGCGCGCACGCGTTAATTTTGACAACCACTGAACAGCGGTGCACAGGTGATCGTGCGAGTGCACAGAATCTTCGTTCCGTCTCTCGCTGTGTCTCTCTCTCTCTGTCTCTTTTGGCTTCACAAACTCAGGTACGCGTGTATACGGTTATTATTATTATTATTACGGTGCCGCGTGTGCGCGTGCGCCCGTGAGGTTCCGGCGCCCGGGGTGGAGGAAGAGAATGTACACTGTGCGCGCGCGCGCTCAAACGTCGCCTACACCGTATACACGCGTATGTACACGTACATGTGTACGTACTACGAAAACCTGTTGGATGCTGTTTGACCTGGACCCGAGTTTAACAACATCGATTGCGACGAACCCGCCGATCGCTGTGCGCTCTCGTACCGGTGCGTCTGCAGGCAGCATCGCGACGATTATCGATTGTCGGTGCACCGTCGATGTTATCGTAGCGGCGTCACGGAGACAGGTAAAACTGCTTCAGGGCCAAACCGTACATATAGCTCCGAGCCTTCCGCCGGTGCGGTGACCACTCTAGTTATTCTCGTTTTTTTTTCTCCCAGTTTTTTTTTCCCCCCCGTTTCTTCGCTTTTCTTTCGCGCCCCGTATCGTTTTACTCGTGTTGTCACGTCTCGCCGGCTCTGCGTATCCCACCGCGCACGTGTTGCCCGCGGAAACTACCCTTGAACCCCGCGCCCAACGGTCACTGCTGCTAGTAACGGGCGCGCACAAACTGTCCCCGGGGGCGCGACGGCCACGTGACCGAATGATGTGACGTCACACCGCGCGCGCGCGTGGTACACAACATGAACATTAAAGACATATTGGTCATGGACGGTGGCGATGACGGTGACGGCGACGGCAATTCGATGGATAACCGCGGCGGCGGCGGCGGCGACGTCATCATCGTCAACAACAACAACAACAGCAGCAGAAACAACAACGTGAAACGGTGCAAGAGGGAAGACATCGGGGATGACGGGGTGCCGCTGTCTCCGCTACAGCAGCTGCACCACGACAACGAGTACTTGCGACACCCCGGGCACCGGAGCCGGATGGACGAACCGGAAGACGAGGACCTGAAACCGTCCTGTGACGACGACGACGAGGTACGTGTCGCGCGGGCCATGTATTTGCCGCCCAAACGGTATTTGTTCCGCCG